TCTTCCTCGTCTTAGCCTCACAGCCTAGTGATCTGTCACATTAATGCTGTGTATCACATGCCAATATCTTCCTCGTCTTAGCCTCACAGCCTAATGATCTGTCACATTAATGCTGTGTATCACATGCCTATATCTTCCTCGTCTTAGCCTCACAGCCTAATGATCTGTCACATCAATGCTGTGTATCACACGCCTATATCTTCCTCATCTTAGCCTCACAGCCTAGTGATCTGTCACATTAATGCTGTGTATCACATGCCTATATCTTCCTCATCTTAGCCTCACAGCCTAATGATCTGTCACATCAATGCTGTGTATCACATGCCTATATCTTCCTCATCTTAGCCTCACAGCCTAGTGATCTGTCACATTAATGCTGTGTATCACATGCCTATATCTTCCTCATCTTAGCCTCACAGCCTGATGATCTGTCACATCAATGGTGTGTAATCGCGTGAATCACAATCGCCCCGAGACAAGTGGTGTTGTCTAGGTTTCTTACTCGGAGTAGCCTCACCTAAATGAGCTATTTATTGCCTAACAACGATGGGAATTTAGTCGACTTTCTACACACTTGCAGCCTTTGCTTGCTATCAAACTTATATTCTCATGCTCTTCAAAGCTTTTAATTTTTTCTGATACTGAATTAGTCCAATTAAGAGCTTAACGGTAATATATATATATATATATATATATATATATATATATATATATATATATATATATATATATATATATATATATATATATATATATATCACGTGTTTAATCGTGATAAACACGTGTTTAATCACGTGTTTATTTTCGTGATATACACACACACACACACATATATATATATATATATATATATATATATATATATATATATATATATATATATATATATATATATAATATATATATATTATATATATATATATATATATTATATATATATATATATATATATATCAACAGAATATATACTTTTTATAACGGTAAAGTATCAGTACTAAATGTGATTATACTGAGGCCTATTTATAGATGGAACATATTTACATATCTGAAAAAAAAAAATTATGTCCGGAATTCGTCAGCTTTTTCATTGGATGGATCCGTAGTGACAGTCGGATAATTAGATGGAGCCGGTGCTTCAGCCGGATAGTGTGTCAAAGAATGTCTATAATTTAGTTAATATATTAAATGTAGTTATACATGTATTAATTACTGTATAATGTTTCCCATTTTATTTTATGGTTATTGATGATTTTATTTTTTAGAATGAATTTACAATCTGAGTTTCGTAAAATTTGATTTAATATTTGTACATTACCATAGTATATGTATATTGCTTCCCATGTCTTATATAATGTGAAATTATAAATCAGTTGCTACAAAAATGGCTTGGATTGTCTCATATTTATTTGTGAGTAAAGTATGTGCTAAAATCCTATTATATTAATCATTGACGAATTAATTCTTAATTCTTCACTTATATACGCCATAATAATACTTTATGATATAGAGATGTTTTATATGGGAGAATTGTTCTTCATCTCTGTTCTTCTGAACATTTATTGTCATAGATATGCTGCACATGTATATTTGAAACACCTGTTGTTTGATATGTATCAAATCATACAAATACCTTTAGCATATACAGTACCATGGATAATTTATTTGTAAGAGTTAATAACTCAATAAGTTATACAAATATCAACGTGGGCAAGATAATGTTACACACTAGTCAAAAGGCTAAAACTTAGCCTATTTGTTATGGTAATTTGGCCCCTGTGCTGCAGGAGGGAACCTCGTATATGGATTATGTCATGGATAGTAGGCCATAATGGGGGTGTTGTATCCCATATAGATGTAATATTTTGTCAGTTCCTCTCATAGTGGTATCTATAATAGACACAATATTACCTCTACTATTATAGCTTAAATATATAAATAGATGTAAACTAGAAGAGGTTTACATAAACCAGTATTACCCCTAGATAATATGATTATCCAAGTTACAAGTTTGGTCTAGTATCACCCTCAGGAGACAACTTCATGTTCTCGGAAGATAACAGCGAAGGTAACATTGAATACAAATGAGATAAGTTAGAAATGTTATGGGTAGTAAAGCCGGGACCCAAACTTGCCCGACACTTCCCACCTGGTATTTATAATATGTTGCACCACCTCCCGGAAAGCCTAGTATCACGGTCGTGCGAATTCCTCCATATATACCCGGTAGATATAAGTAATTCCTTTATAGACGGTAACTTAAGAGGGTAATGCCATAGAGAAACAAACATATTAACCAATTCCTGCCTTGTGTGCCCCGCTAGTCATTGTACTCCTTAACTGATCATTTTGGAAACATTCTGGAAGACGCCAACATATTGTATCAATCTTCCCGCGAGATAAACAAGACTGATTATTGAATGAGTCTTAAGTCTAAACACTCCGAAGTCAATATTTTCTTCTACCTGAGCGCTTGAATCATGACTGCTTTTTGACTCTCTAAGTCGTCGTCATTTTCACTTGTAAATAGCGAACAAACTTGTTCATTGATACAATGGACGTAATGTGTGTGTGTTGACCGCTCAATTCATAATGATATATTGGCTAGAACACAAATCTTTCTAATTTTAATGGTAGCCAAAATATGTGGAATAACTGGTGCTAATTACCTTGATACAGTCTGCTAGGAGTAAGGCCAAGATGGATCGTGTGGTGGTTATCTTGTCACAGGAGAATGTTAGCAGTTAAAGAAGGGATTTTTTGGTGAGTAGTTCAGACATGTAGGTTATATTTTGGTGGTTTTTAATTAAGAAATATTGATTGTGAAGATGGGAATGGTGTGTTTTGTTTGGGCTGTGAACTG